TCGGCGATGGAAAGGAAATTGAATAAAGTAATAATGCCGAAAAACTTTGGTGAACACTTTTGTCTGGTGCATTTTTTCGAGTACAGGCCTTATGTTCGTTCAAAAAATATTCCTCTCCAAAAAAAAAAAAAAAAAAAACATTTACCTAATACGTTTTTTTATTTCTTTTTCTAAATCCATGTAAACAAACCACTGCCAGATGTAAAAAAAAAGTGAGGTTAACTTGACGGTGCAGCTCCCTATATTGAAGGAATCGACTGCGGTAGGTTCATTTGATCTCAATTTACCAATCTATACCTATATATAAAATTCAATTTCTATCTGTCTGTCTGACCCTTATAGACTCGGAAACTACTGAACCGATCGGCGTGAAAATTTGTATGCAGGGGTTTTTGGGGCAGGGAACGGTTCTTATGATGGTTCAAGACCCCTCCCCCCTCTGTAATGGGGAGCTCCCATACAAATGAAACAGAAATTTCTGCATAACTCGAGAACTAATCAAGCAAATGGAACCAAATTTGGCATGTGAAAGTCATAGGAGGTAGCCCCTTAGATTAGAGAGGGGAGGGGATACGTACAATATAGCATCCTTTTTTTTAATTGGCGCATAAACTCAAGCTAATATTGAATCCCGAACAAGGCCGGACACACTCAGCTAGTTTACCTATAAATTTTACTGTTGAGCATTTCCATGAAACGTAAATGGTTGTGGTTGTAAAGGTTGAACACGAAAAAATAGGGCCATGAAAATCTTGTTGGTGTTTAAAAATGCGTTTTATTTTTCAAAGTTCAATGTAACAGCTATACATCAGTATGTATTCTGCTTATAGTAAGACCATTGTTCAGTCTTCCTTCTTACCACACAGCTAAAAAAAAGTAGTGTAAATTTCCGTTACTATGATGCACATAAATGGAGCGTCATATATCATGCAAGTTTAGATTATAGATCGTGTAAATTTATGAGACTTGTCATGCAATATCCCATATATTGTATGCAACTGTCCACTTTTGTTTGCAACATTTCTTGCAAGTTGCTAGTTTACGTGAAAAGGAAGTTTACATGTATGAATGTTTGCATGCATGGATGTTTACATCGCCAGTAAAATTCAGAATTTTTTGGTGTGCATCATAGGCCATGGCTCGAACTTTTATTTGCACGATCATCTTTTGCGCGAGCTCTATTCCCACTTGTTTGGATGCCGAATTCCATTTCCGCTTGAAATCCTTTAGGTCAATTGCAGTTCCACCCTTTTTCATCAGTATGTGATTCACAATTGACCAGTATTCCTCAATTGGCCTTAGTTTCGGAGTATTGGCCGGATTCATCTCTTTGGGAACCACTGTGAATCCATTTTCGCTGTACCATTGTTGGGTGGAATTTGGGTAGTGGCAGCTTGCCAAGTCCGGCCAGAATAGCCAATCCACCTTATGCTGCTCTAGAAAAGGTACACTGAAGTCTTTTTTTACACGGTTTTTTTTACGTGATTTTTTTTCCACGATTTACACGGTACGTTTTTAACGATTTCTCGACAACGATACAACCTATCGACTTGATTCCAATCACATTATCCGTTTCAAGCTATAGGTAATCGAATGGCATACTTAAAAAAAATCACGATTTTTGGTGTAAATACAGATTTTTTTTAAATATGTCTATATGGACCATATCATGCTTTAATTACAAATGGCATCAAAATTCGATTTTTTAAAAACATTTAAGCATGCGAAAAATCAAAATCTCGTAGGTTTTTTTTTACACGGTTTTTTTTTACACGGTACGTATCCCCCGTGTAAAAAAAGACCTGAGTGTAGTAGTCTCTTCCACAGACACTCCTTCTGGTATATTTGCTGATTCATAGTCCCAGAAGTAACGAAAGTTTTGCTTTTCAGCCCACAGCTGCAGATTGCTTGCCAGACAGGGAACTTTTAGGGAATTTCGACTTCTTTTTGATTTTACATTCTTCCGGGGCACTCTTCCGCTCAACCGAAGTATAAAATTCCTGCCAAAGAATTTGTTCAAAAACTACTAGGAGCGAATAAACCGGGATTTTCGTTTCAAGCCTGCAGGATCGGATCGCGCCGTGCTTGCTACAGTGAAACCACGTTGGAAACAAATGAACTAAAGTCTGGAACGCGCAAAAATTGGTCAACTTCAAATTGGTGTATTTCTGTTGAAAATGCATTAAAAAAAACCTGAAATGCTGCACTTGGAAGTTGAGCGTATATACAATGGTTGCTATGATGAGTTTTCACCGTTTGCTCTCCAGTTTTTAAAATGACGATGTGGCCAAATCGACCGTGACAAACGTTTTAAAAAGTGTTCGGGAGCGTCTGTCGACCGCCAGGAAGCCTGAAAGCGGCGGCAATCGTAATCCGGACGTGGCAGCGACGACGAAGAAGGTGGCGGTGAAATATAAGCGGAATCCTAACCTCTCCATCCGGGACGTCGCTGGCAAGCTTAATGTCTCCCATACTACTGTACAGCGGGCCATGAAACGAGAAGGGTTGTCGACGTTTAAGAAGGTGGAGGTGGCGAACTGAGATTACAAACAAAACACGTCGGCAAAGCAACGGTCCCGAAAGCTTTATACGAATCTGTTCACAAAGTTCGACTGTGTCGTCATGGACGACAAAACATATGTGAACGCGGATTTCAATCAGCTTCCGGGACAGGAGTTTATACCGCATCAGGTAAAGGGAAGGTGGCTGAAATTTTCAAAACCATCAAACTACCGAAGTTCTCGAAAAAAATATCTCGTCTGGCGGGCCATATGCACGTGTGGTCTAAAAAGCGACATTTTCATTACTACCGGAACCATCAATCCAGAGATCTACGTCCAGGAGTGCCTGGAAAAGCGGCTGCTACCATTCCTAAAGCAACATAATAGACCTGTGCTGTTCTGGCCGGACTTGGCGAGCTGCCACTATGGAAAAAAGGCAATCGAATGGTACGATGCGAACAACGTGATTGTGGTACCCAAAGACCACAACCCTCCCAACAGCCCAGAACTCCACCCTATCGAACGGTTTTGGGCGTTGGTCAAACGGAATCTAACAAAACTAATAAATCCATGGAAAACTAGCAGCAGTTTAAATCTAACTGGTGTTCGGCGGCGAATAAGGTCGATGAAACTATAGATACTATAGATTCCATATATAAGCGGAGGCAAGGTGTAATGTAGCCAAACGAACTGGCAGTTAGTGTAGTCAAACCAGTATTACGTCATCATGGTGTTGTTTAAGGGAGAAGTATGCCCCGTAACGTGGGTAGATCACCTTTTCGTGGTACGTTACGGGATGTAAGATCTACCACCGATTCCTAGTCCTGACTACTTCAAACTAGCGGAACAGGATTTTCAGTAATCCAACGCATCTTAGTCCTTGTTATTTGTTATGCCTTGTTGATAGTGACAAGACTCGGCTTTGTCTACCGAGGATGATCTTGAAACAAGGAAAAAATGAGTTAGTTGTCTTCATCTATGTGATTCCTAATCTTCTATTCGTTGTTCCCTAGTTCCTGACTACTTCAAACTAGGGGAACAGGATTTTTCAGTAATCCAAGGAACACATCTTAGTCCTTGTTACTTTTTATGCCTTGTTGATAGTGACAAGACTCGGCTTTGTCCACCGAGGATGATCTTTAAACAAGGAAAAAAATGAGCTAGTTAGTCTTCATATATGTGGTTCCTAATATTTTATTCGTTGTTCACTAGTTTGAAGTGGTTAAGACTAGGGTTCTGATGCATGGTCATTATCGGTGTCATACCTTAATTTTGTTGCTAAGGAATCCAATTTTGACTGACAAAGGGGCGCGCCTTTGGAGGGTGTTTCAACACTCCGAAGGGTATAAATAGCGGGACCTTTCAATTAGAGTCGGATCCTTGCGATAAAGGCAAGAGTGGCAACTGTAAAAAAAATGGAATACTTCATCATTTCTCAATAGTGATGGAGTAGTACGACATGCACTAAACTAAGGACACGGGATATACTACAATAGATCAATTTACTGGTCGCAGTAGTGTTAGGTCCCGACCAGAGAAAAAAAGGGAGAAGTATTGTAATATTATGAGCACAAAACGCTTTCCACGCTTCACATTCCGATTTATTTCGCGGACAACGGAAGAAGGAAAGATGAAGCAAACCATTCCTCGACTCATTGTTGCAAACATTGGCTTTGCACTTCATTTTGAACACAACGAAGAGCTCTATGATGGCATGAACTTTTTTCACGGATGTCAGTAAGATCATTTATTTTTCATGGCTGCCAATACAACATTTTGTGCCTCCGCTTATCTATGGAATCTATAGTATCTATAGATGAAATCACTGTGCAAAATTTAATGGAATGGGTTAAGCGGAAGGCACGGCAGTTCGCATTTGGCAAACCAAAAGAATAAACGAACATGTTTTCCTTTAAATATATGAATTGAACTACCAAAAAAAAATAAGAACATTTTTGTGATATGAATTTTGACTGAAAGAAACGATTTTTTGTCGACCAATTTTTGCGCGTTCCAGTCTTTAATCCTACTAAAAAAATACTCAAAAAATGCTTTAATGGCAGCGTTTTTAATTTGTCTGATTTTTTTCGTGTGTGGAAAAACAGCACTACTATGTAAAATGACATACACGACCGACAACGGGGAATGGTCGATTTAGCAATTGTTATGTTTTATTTAAAGTGGCTATTTTTGTGTTCTATTTAAAGTGATTTTGTGATGCGCCAATAGGCCATATAGGGAATCGAATTGTTGAAGGACGCAATTTCTATGCAGCTACAATCTTTAGTACGATGCTGTTAATGCTGGAAACTAGTTCGTTCTCTCCATTCAACAGTGTCTCAAAATGTTCCTTGCACCTATCAGCAGCATTAATCGAAATGTAGATGAAAATTTATGATCCCAATTGAATCATTTCTGGTCATGAGGTTATATCAAAGAAAAGGAATGTCATCAAAAGTGGCAGAAGTTTCGGATTTCAATGAAAATTTACAGCGCTACTTTTCTTTAAAATAGAGTAGTCTTTATTAAACAGACTTGCAAAAAAAAACCAAAAAGGTCGGTAATGGATACATTGGAGCAGAGCATATACTTTCAGATTCTTACCAACTAAAACACATTACGCGTGCTTCGTCTCTCTTCGTCTTCGCAGAATCATTACCGTCAGTTATGCATACTAGTGTTGTTACATAGTAAGGTTACAGAATGGGTTATGGGTTATAATAGACGTAATAACATTGTTTTAATAACTACTACAAACTTTTCGCTGCTGCCGTATGGCGCTGCGAATTCACCAATAGACGCGTGGCGTTTCCTCAGTGCAAACAGCGCCCGCAGTGATGGTTTGTGAGAACTATTATTATTAGACTCTCGTCTACACTAGAGCTAGTTATATAAGGATACTTTGTGTCTGGAGACTGGAGCAAACTTCTTCCCTATCGCTAATTCAAATCTAATGATCAGCTTTAGCGTTCATACATTCTCGGCGAGCATCCATTTCCCCGACCACGCATACATACGCACACTCTCGATATACTCAGTGAGTTAATTATAATAATGCACACAATACTGGTGCTGGTGCTGCTTGAACTTTTCCACTTTCGGGAACGCTTAAGACTTTGGATACACTGGTTTGTAGGTATGACTTCAAGCGCTATGGGAATGCTCATCGTCATTTCGCTCCTGATTGCCGATCAAAACCCAATTGGAACTGGGAGCAACGCTTAATTTAATATAATATTTCTCGGAAACTACTTATTTCGGAAATGACCGGATCCATACATACCCATACCTACCACATGCAGTCCAATTCGAAGCCACTCATTCAATCCGATGAAGAAAACTGCCATCCTCACCTTTCCCTAATGCAGCGGAGAAGTCAACCGCGTGGACTGATGCGGCCGCGAGTTCTTCTCCAGTCGACATTCCTCCACCTGTTTCAGCAGCTGTTCCTGCAAGGCCAGCAGTTCCCGGGTGCGCTGATAGATCGGATCCTGTTGTCGCATGCTCGGATTCCACCGGCAGTACAGGCCCTTCCACAGGCGGATGTGTCGCATGCTAACTACCGGTTTCAGCACGGTTTGGATGGCCATATTGCGACCGCCGTACAGCGGATTACGATACTGTTCGTGGGATGAATTTATAAACGACCACAACGAGACGGTGCGATTTTTCAGATCTGTAATGAACAGGCAAGACGAGACGAGATGAGACGAGAGGATGAGATTGGGTTAGAGCTATGGGATGGGAAATGGGAAATCGGTTGTCTCATTGGCCTCGTTTCCGAGATGCGATGGGACCGGCTTTGGATAGTGAATGTAATTGGCAATATTTGTCGCAATGATGGAATCAATATAAATCAAGTTTAACTCAACGATGTACGTTAAATCATGCGGAAAGTTAGAATTTTGCGGAATCGCTTTTGGACCATGTTTCATCCGTAGACAACCCACAGTGCGCATCGTACGGTGGATTGTTCGTACGGTGCAAAAACTAAACTGACTCATTAAACAATTTTCAGGTAGGGTCCTCCTCGCGTAGCCGGCTGGTTAGCGAGCGGAGCGGAGTATGATCTGTCAAATGAAGCCTACGCCAGGTAGGTATATGTAATTCCATTGCACGTAAAGCACCGTCAGAACAAAAAGGTACCTACTATCTACCTACAGACAAATCAGGACAAACAAACCAACCAGGGAAGGGTTTTTTGTTTTTTGCTGACCGATCGAGACTCGTCGTTGTTGGGTGACGACAAACAATAATCCAATTTGTGTGGGATGCGTGCTCGGGCTAATGGTGTTCTCACGGTCAACACAATAGCGAATTCGAAATCTGGACCCCAGGGCAAGCAAATGATGAAAAATGAAAAATGTATCGCGTGGCCATAGAAATGTTTTTATTTTCCATTATCATCGAGACTGACATAGAAAAGTTTTCACAATTTCGGGAAGTAACCTACTTAGGTAGTCACATTAGCATATTTCAGGTCATTAGTGACTTGTTCGGGGAACTATGGTCGAAAACACAAAATTTTACGAAGGAATGCTCGCATCTACAAAATTATAGATAACTTAATTTCAAGCAAATTTTTGTGAGTTTTAAAACAACAGTTCGTATTGAGCAGGATAAACTATAAAGCTAACGGTAATTTCAAAACGTGGTCAGAAATTGTACCATTCACGGATAAAGGTCTTCATGTAGTTTCTATTGGGAATGCACATAATATTTTTCCATTAACAAAACCAATGATATCTATCTGTATTTCACATAACATTCATGTGATCACAAGAGTTCTGTATGGTAAATCACTTAAATTTCATTTGACACGTAAGGTTCATGTGATTTTGTGGTGCAATTCCCAATTATGATAGGGGAATTTACGTATTCTCGGCAACCTAAGCAGCAACCTTCTTTCTATAGCCTTTTTCTCTAAGGAACACACACATATGCAGTATTGGTTTGTTTACAATCTTTTGCTGCCAGCTGCTCTAACAATTTCAGTCGAAAGAATTGTCAAAAACTGTTTTGAAACGCTTTTACAAAGCTCCAATCTTCTCTAGTGAGAGCGAGTATTATCGGCAACCAGTTTTTCTTCGGCAACCGTTCCATGTGAACTGCATGTAAATCTGCTGTTCTATTATCGGCAACTCAAAATCAGCTACAATTTGTAGTGCGCGTGTTTCACTTCAAGAAAACCTTTCTAGATTGCTTTTTCTCAGTGGTAAAAATATAGTCAAATTGAAGCTGAAAGCATAAAGAATGGTTTGCATGCATTCAGCGATGTGTTTTCGTAAGAAAATCCAGTGAAAATAATGTTTCATTTTGAGTTGCCGAAAATAGTCTGGCATGCCGAAGCCGTCATTTCCCCTATTACATGAAAGTTATGTGAAATTCTAATGAATATTTTCCGTTGGATATGTGATTTATTCTTTGAGTGTTTCATTCCGGATTAAACTGGCCTAAACGAACATGCCGAATATCTAGATAGATCTGGAATTAGAGCGTAACAGCTTTTGTAAACAATGACTTCTGTCGTTGATTTCTAGCAACTCAAGGCACGCCTACACAAACCAAAATATCCATCGAGTAGGAGAAGTCTTCCCCTATTCGATGGTAATGTTGATTTGCCAGGGAGAGTAATGCCTTTCGAGAAATCATCGAGGGAAGCCATTGCTTACAAAAGCTGTTACGCCATAATTCCAGCTATATCTAGATATAAAATGATGAGAGGAAGAAAAAATCGATGTTGATTTTTCAATCGTCAGAGTAAACACTTTCTGGATCAGCAGAGATGCCAGTTTACAGACATGTCTGTGAATTTACAGACTTTTATTTTTTTCACAGACATTTTTTTCGTTACAGACATATCTGTGAAAAAATTAAAAAGTCTGTAATTTTTAATTTTTTCACAGATAGGGTAAATTATGGCTTCGGCACCCATTGACTGTTTTCGGCAACCGAAATTGAAACGTTAAGTTCACTGTATTTTCCCATCAAAACTCTTCGCTGAACATATTAAGCCGATTCCTTATCTTTTCAGCTTCAATCTGATTACATTTTTACGACTGTGCAATCCTGTTCTGCCATATTTTTCTTTAAATGAAATATACACACTACAAAATACGGCTGATTTCGAGTTGCCGATAATAGAACAGCTGGTTAACACGCAGTTCAAATGGAAATGGTGCCGAAGAAAAAGAGACTGCCGACAATAGTCACACTCACCTGAGAAGTTTGGAGCGTTGTAAAAACATGTTCAACCCGTTTTGATCAATTCTGTCGATTGAAATTGGTAGAACAGCAAGCAGCAGATAAATGTCAACAAACAAACCTGTCATGTATGTGTGTGACGCTGAGAAATCGCTAATAGAAGTTCGGACGCTGCTTAGATTGACTAGAATACGTAAATTCCCCTATTTACAGACTTTTGTAATCAAGGGAAAATTTTAAAATTTATTTGGTTACACTGTGTTACATCTTTAATCAAATTACACGTGCGATGCATTTTCCAACAAACAACACGAACTGTCACTGTTACAGACGGTCATAGTTATAGGCTAAAGAGCCCTCTAGTTAAAGAATGGACGACTGTCACCACAAAACTGAAAAAGCTGTTCCAATCGAACAAAGCGGTGCATTTTGACGGTTCGATTGGAACAACTTTTAACAGACGTCCATACTTTTACTGTAGGGCTTTTTTATAGACCTGTCAATGTGCTGCCATGTATCCAAAGCGAACATTTTCCATACGATTTGACCGAGGGAATTCTACCAAGCTTGTAAGGTGATCGGTAATCAAAAATTTACACAAATTATGAAAATAATTAGTGAATTTAGAATTACTCAGTAATTTCAATGTAATAAAAAAAATTGTGGGTAATTTCCAAGGGGTAGGTCACTCCGCACACCAATCTTGGGTCATCTTTTTTGTCAGTGTGCCGCAAGTATGTCGATTGTGCCGGTCATAGAGCAAGCTGCGTTTGTTTGTAAAACACCCATCCCGGCAACCCGGTATTTCTGACACCTTGAATGTTTTGGTTTGAAATCGCAAGGATAAATCGGATTGAGGATGACGCGGGAAGTGGCGAGTGTGCGAAATTTCGGTGTTTTTGTGATCCATAGGGTAATAAAACTCCTGTGTTTTAGTGTTTTATAATGCCAAACCAAAGGCAAAGGCAGACCAGAAACCTAGCCTTTCGGCCGGAAAGAGTTGGAACCGGTGGGGAGCACTGTTGGAGACCGACTATAGACGGTGATGAATAGACTTCTTTAGTTTGTTTTGTGGGAAATGCAGCATTATTTTAATTAAGGGTACTAATTAGGTCTGATCAACTGCCTCTTTCTCTTCAGCCCACTCTGGAACCTACATTTCGTATTTAGATCTTTAAGTGAACTGCTGGTCTGAGTTCCTCTGGTATATTCAATTAGAAGATGTTCCTGAGCATACAGTCAAACAGCACGTAATGTTCTGAACAACTTCAATGACAGTTGTCCAGCAGTGGTCCCATTTTATTTACAACAATCTAATGCCTACGAGATCGTGCCGAAGGTATGCTGAAAATGTGCCGATGGATGTTCCCAAGCTTTGCCGAATATAATTTCGGCACAATGTGCTGAGTGACTTACCCCTTGGTAATTTCAGTAATTCCTACTGCTTGGAAAATAATTTGGTAATTTTAAAGATAATTAAAAACATAGTAATTCTAGCAATTCCAAAAATATTTTTACTCTGGAATTATCATAATCTTTATTATTCTATGTCAATTTAATGATTCTAAGGCCTGTACTCGAAAAAAAAAAATGCACAAGACAAAAGTGTTCGCCAAAAATTTATTTTAAGTCGGATTTTCTTGAAACTTTCAGGGAATTAACTAATACATGTGGATTATGTTTCGGCATAATTACTTTATTCAATTTCCTTTCCATCGCTGAAAGCGCGCACCTTTCCCTTAAGACCCCTCATTACATTTTGTGCAATGGTGGAGCCGACCTTTTTGGTCACTTTCATCCATTCTTTCTTCAACTCCAGCTCGTTCTCAAACACCTTGGACGATTTTCGAACTTTGGCCTTCATTATGGCCCAAAATCTTTCCACCGGACGAATCTCTGGTGAATTTGGGGGGTTGGCGGTTTTTGGTACAAAAACAACGTTATTGTCCCTGTACCAATCCAACGTCGATCGCGCGTAATGGCATGATGCCAGGTCCGGCCAAAATAATGTCTCGCCTTCGTGGGACCGCAGGAAGGGCAACAGACGCTTCTGGAGGCACTCGGTGTGGTAAATTTCGCTGTTGACGGTACCCATTGTGATGTACGGTTTACTCGGTTTACCGCATTGGCATATGGCCTGCCAGAATTTGTCCACTTTCTTTTTCCTTCTGTCTTCCGGAACATCAAACCGTGTTTTGGCAACGTAGAACTCCAGCTCCGGTATCTGCTTTGCGTCTGCCTTGATGTAGGTTTCCTCATCCATAACCACACACATCGGTTTCGTTAACCACTCTCGATACAGCTTCCTTGCGCGGGATTTGGCCGCCGGGTTTTGTTGATCACGCCGGTTCGGTGCCTTCACGGTTTGCTGAACGAACCACGTGGAACACTTTACCTTCAGAGCCGCGTAGCGAATCGAAAGGTTCGGATTACGCTTGAAATAATCCAACACCTTCCGGGCCTTCACAGGGT